GCGGAGGAGTTTCGCGGCTCATTTTGCGGTGTGGTTGCAATCTGCAACCACACCGCAAAATGCCTGTCTCTTTAAGACAGAACTCTTTTTTTGATATTTGCCTTAAAGACTGCACATCCAGATGTGCCTCAACTGCTTTTTTAGCTTTCTACCTCATATTCTTCACTATTTTTCAATGATTTTTTAAATGTTATATTCATTAGCTCAGAATTATATTTTGTTATCAACAAACACTGGCAGATAGAGAGGTAGATTGAGAAGGCCTGGTAAGTAAAGGGAATCTGAAGAGTTATAAGATGAAAGCAGAAGCAGTCCGCCCACAGAGTCACAAACATCACGTACCACAGTGAACTGATTCAGGCTCCAACACTCTCTCCCATTTCTCTCTGAATCCTGTTTACCGCCTACGCTCATCTTTCACCTTCTGAACACTGCGTCACACAGAATCACTGGAAATAACTTCATGTAAAACTAAACTGTTGCCTGCAAAGATACAATTTACTGAGGCTCGGCACCAAACACAAATACACCAGACAACCGATGGGCTGCTTTTGTGGCAGATGGTTGTGTGAATATAATTAGCTAAAATCCATTACACCAACACACTGTAGTACTAATAAAAATCTAACAACTGTAGTTCCTTCATACAACAGTGTTAGAAAAATATAATTTTCCTTATGATTGTAATACTTTTGAAGTAAACTTTGCCTTATGACTTATTGCCATTATGAAATATGAATAACTGTAGGGACCTATGTTTTATGTGCTGTGTCACATTTCTGAATGTTGCCATTTATCCCTCATTACACAGAAAAACTGTGTTCACCAAGTACAGTCGGTCAAAGTTGGTAGTACTTTGCATTTCAGCACAGTAACAACATGGTAAAAGTAATGGCAGATTAAAATAGTTTATATAATAAAAGATCGATACTTGGCGTCCGTGTATGGATACAATATCGCCACGCAAAATATCGCGATACTACGCTGTATCGATTTTTCCCCCACCCCTAGGTAATAGTGGGGTAATAGTTTATAATAAAGAGGTAATAATATAGTAATACCATGTGATTAGCAAAATATTTGCCATGTAATAGCATTTTGCAGCCCTGATTCATGGTTATTACAGAGTAACAAAGTAACTCATGATGAATTTCAGTCTTTTGACTGAATTTTGACTTCCAATAATTTTGATGTGATGTTGAAGGTATTTTACTGATAGGAGCCTAACATATCGTGAAAACATCGTCATATAATATCTCACTGTTATCAGGGTATTAACCCATTACTATCACCATATTACCATTTTCAAATCCAAAAATTGCACTGATATAACTGATATTCTATTATTTACAGCACGGGTCTTCAACATTTTTCAGGCCAATCTCTCAAACTGATGTCCGCAGGGACCTCCGACTATATATATTGTATACAATTGTGTTTTATATTAAATGGGCCTAGTACCATGTATACCTCTTTATTGCGCATTCAATACTAAGCTATTCAAATAATACACAGGTTCATATATTCATGTTTTTATTTCAAACATGTGCAAGGTACAGTGAGTAGGGAGGCCGTGCCACTGCCATTTATAAACATACCTTGTCAGCTGATACCAATGCCAATATCAACATTGTCTGTCAATAGCATGATAATCATGCATACAAGCTATTCAAATTGATGTTTTCATTTTAAACATAAATGTGGAAACGAAAATGAGTGATGGCCTATTAGTGCCACTGCCATGCATAAACATACCTGTTATCTTTCATACAATACTGAACTATTAAACTAATGGACAGATTCATGTTTAGATTTTTTTTTAAACTGTCTAATCAACCAAAAATTTCGCGGACCTCCTGCAGTACCTCCGCGGACCCCCTTTACTTTGTTGTCACAACTGATAAAGCTGATGGTGAATCTACAACAATATGTTGTAGGTAACAACCTAGTTGTAAGAACACAAGTCACCTGGATCGCCTGCATTGTCAATTGAAAAAACTGGACAGGAGTTTTACTTCCGGAATGAAGGAAGCCACAAAATAACTCAAATCCCACTTCACCAGTGCTTTTATAGTTACCTTATGAGTACTGCTTCCACCACATTTACCATAATTAGTTTAACAGTTGTGCTGAAAATTAGAGTAAATCCCATAGAATAGGAGTCAAGGGTCAGTGTAGTTTAAAAAAAAGTGATACCAAATGAGGGCTGGGATTGAATAACATAGGATCCTACAACGATAACATTTGTCAGCTTTTATCTTAAGAAACATTTTCAAGTGTTTAAATACAAGCCTCGAGGTACATGCACAGTGTGTGGGACTGTGTGTGTAAAGGTTAATGATTGATGGAAGAGGAAGTGCAACTAGCTAATCATACCTCTCTATGGCAAACAGACACAGGACAAAGGTATGTGTTCATGTGTTTCTTAGAGTCAGCTTCCTGTGAATGAGGGCCGGGTATCGTTTGAACAGTTACCTTACCAGTAGCAAAAGCAGTACCCTTAAAGTGATCAAGAGTACTTCATTTGATACATTTTGTTGTGTACTTCATTTGATACCCATCACGTGAGTGGAAACATTTAGTTGTGTAAAATGCCAACACCACCCCATTTACTTTTTATCAGATGCCAAAGGCGTGTAGTGTATAGCCATACTTTCCAACGCTTTGGTGACATCTCGGCACGCTGAACTACCAACTCCGTCAAAAACACTGCACTGGACTTCACCCACCGCAGACTGTATGGGTAGTAGTTGCTGCGGTAGTGGGCCAATTATACTTGGCATTAAATCCTAATGCCTAACCCCTAAACATGTTCTCGTAGAAACCCAAAATACAAGTATGAACCTTAAAAGGAACATGATGTGTCACCTTTAAGTGTAGGATTTGTGCCTGCCAACATTGTAGGGCTGGACCTACCTTTACTCTTGTCATCCACATGGGATTCACAATAAGCTATATTGCGATTTATTACTTTTTTCAACTTCAAATTATTTTGAACATTTATTTAAACCAGGTGGTGAATCAGAAAACGAATCAAATATAAACTAGAGTTTAATCTCTGATCTGTCTTCACTCTGGTATGAAACTCCAGTCAGTCAGTGCGATCAGCTGCCAGCATCCAATCACATAACTGATGAACAATGAGGGGGCGTGTCAGCCATTAAAACACTTCCTGGAAGGCTGTTCTCCTGCGTCCTCGCTCATGGCTCCTCGGAGATCCCTCTGTGCTAAATAAGAGCTTTGGGACGGGCGTCAATATGGAGGAGCAGAACAACTTCCGGTTCAAGCGAGGATCGAGGAAATGACAATTAAGAGACTTGGGATGTACCTGTCACGCTTCTGGAACAGAGCAGAGACTCAAGCGCAGAGACAGGCACTGGAGACGAGGTGGAAGGCAAGTTTATTTTTTACTGGTCACTAGGGGTGGGAATCACCAGAGATCCCGCGATACGATATCACGATACTTGGGTCACGATACGATATTATCACGATACTGCGATATTATCACGATACTGCGATATATTGCGATTTATTACTTTTTTCAACTTCAAATTATGTCCCCAAAGGAAAACTGTGTCAACATGTTTTATCTAATAAGATAAAGTTTTCAGTCTGTTCATCTCACTTTAATCATTTTTATTGCAGCAAAATAGGATTGTCAAGCAGACAGACTGACCAACAATGTCATAAATGTTGCATGAACCTGACAAACTGAACTGTTTGTATTACTACATAGTCCAACTCAACTAAATGCAAACGTGTGGACTCACTATATGAACTATAACTTATATAAGTAGGAAATAAGAGTTATATAACTCAGTATAACTTGCGATGCGTGGCCGTCAAGGGCAGAGAGACAGTTATGCGCTGCACTCTCCCCATGAGCCTGGCTACTGTTGGCAGATTTAACCCCGTTGTGAGGCCAGATGTCTCTATCTTTGTTTTGACCAACTTCCTACCAATCACGCTGACCCGGGACCATTGCTGACCTCACCAGAAAATAACTCAGCACCATCTAGTGGACTGAAAAAGCAATTGTTTTTATTTTTTTTTTATAGTTTATATAATAAAAGATTGATACTTGGCATCCATGTATCGATACAATATCGCCACGCAAAATATCGCGATACTATGCTGTATCGATTTTTTTCCCCCACCCCTACTGGTCACCAAAAAAGTAATAACTGGTGACGGGGTTCCTGCCGCTGCTGCCTCCGAGCCGCAGTGATCACCGGTTTCTGACCCCGCTGCCGAATGCCAGCGATAGGGGTAGGCCTACCAATTGCTGGTAGGCCAACTGAACCCAACGAGGCCCTCCCAAGGCAAGGCGTGTTCCAAAAACCAGGTCAGACCGTTTAGGTGCAACACGCACCAAACGATGGTTGTACACTCTCCTTCCTTGGGTCTGGAGAGCGAAACGCATGGTGCTATCCTCTGCTGAGTCCGTCGTGGTCAGATTGTACTGCCACGCTTCTGGAACAGAGCAGAGACTCAAGCGCAGAGACAGGCACTGGAGACGTAATAAGTAACTCGAAACAACTCCAACAGGGAGCGGACCAAAAATCCAAAAACTGTAGAAAGGCAAAGTCACTAATCATGGAAACAAACACGAGGACAAAATACCAGAACATGACGCACACTCGGAGAAGGACAAATGCAATCTGACAACCAGAACGGGGAAAGCAGGGGAGTGTGGGGTGATGAGTAGATTGCAGGCAGGTGAGTTGAATGAGTGCAGTGTGGTTGGCAGAGGAAAAAGCCAGGGGCAGGTGATTGAGCACAGGTGAAGTGAATGAAAGCAATCAGGAGACACAGAGACACAGGAGGGAGCCGGGAGGAGACCACACAGACACAGGAACACAGGGGGCAAAGCCTAAACCGTGACAGTACCTAGGGCCAATGTTATTAATGGCCTCAGGTGTTTCCACTCTGCCTGACGACCCTCTGCCACACCCACCTCCAACACCTGCAAGGAAGGCAGCCAAACGAACAGGCAGACAGGGCAGAGAGGGTCGTCACACATTGCTGAAAAAGCATCTCTGTCAAACAACTGGATTTGTTGAATTTATTAATTTTCCCTGAACGCATCATAATGTAACTGAACGGAATCGCCGTTCGTTAGCCGTTATCGGTGCTGCTAACGTTAGGTCTTCTCCTGTCAATTTCAAAATGGAATTGGTTGTTTACAATGTAACATTACCAGGGATCAGCGAAAAGAAAGCATGAATGCCGATGTCCTGATCATATATTTTACTGAATATCGGACGATAACGATCATTAGAAAAACGTTATTTCACACTGTGATGGTTAACGTTAAACTGTCATTAATCAGCGGTTCACATTTGTGCTGAACCGTGAGGGGGGATTGATAATGGTCCGTTACACCACTACATCAAACAGCAGCTTAGCGAGTGTGCAACCTTGAAGTTTGCTGCTGCTGTGGCTTGTGCTCACATTGTTTGTGTTCCATACTTGTATCTTGCAGGGCGTGAGGAATACCCTGGATGGGGAGGAGTCCCAAGTGGAACTACTCAAGGCTCAGCTCAAGGAGCTCTTCAGGTTCTCAGAGGACTCGCGTCACCTCTCTGATGATGTCCTGGCTGTTGTCAAAGAACATCAAAGGTATGTGACAGGAAGCTTAGTGCTATTGAAAAACCCTGAAAGTCAAAACCTTGTGGACCAATATGTAGGCCACATAATATCTTAAAACTTCCTTGTTTATCTACTTGTGTGTCGCTAATTGTAAAATAGGAAATATATCTTTGCAAATGTGAATTCCGGATACACATGCTCAGGCATGAAGAATTTGAGTACACCAATAAAACTAGTAAATACCTTGCAACTCAAATAAAACAACTATCCCAGTTATCAAAGTCTCAGCAGGGAATCCTACACAATCAACTGAGGAAATACATACAATTTTAAGTATTCTGTGCAACCTGTACTCAGTAGAAAATGACACAAACCAGGGTCAGGTAAACCAAGACCTACAAAAGGTCTGGATCCAATGGGCACTGGCCTACGTTTATGCAAATTCACAGTTGGTGGCAGCATGCACCTGAAAATGTGGTCGAGGAAAGTAGAGAAGACCACAAGCCAAAGCAAACAAAGTAGTTTTCAAAATAAAATAAAAAAAGGTTGAGGAAATATTTTACGAAGTAGGAAATGTTTTCAACTTTTAAAACGACATTTCCCCCAAACTCTACCTGATAATGATATCCAGTCGAAACGTGTCAACAGAATCCGGACATTATTAATCGTGCTTCTCGTTCATTTTAACAATATAAATGACTCAAAATATAATTTTACACATCTGAATTGTATTTCCCTGCAGCAGGATGTCCTACTTAGCTTTTAGTGCTACTTTCAGAGATTTGCGAGGCTTAATGGAGTGCTCTAGTTTTGGATATTTAAAACTCAGACTCGAGTGGTTTGAGCCATGTGTTCCCTGAGCTGCGAGGTCATTATGTTCAAGTGGTATTTTAGTTAAAATGACTAAAATTAAGTCCAGTGAAGAAAAACAAAAACAGCTTCACAATTTGCTCTGTGACGTGTAACAAACCATTAGGCATCCCATTTGTGTATTCTTTTGCTTCAATGCTTTAATTATGCGCCCCAACACTTTTTTGCCCCTGTTACTAAGAAATGGTGGCAACACTTTATTAAATGTGTCCTTTATTTCCAAATAGTTTGCGAATAATTTGTTGCGTTTCCTGGAAAGAGCTGTGTTGTAGTGGTAAATGTAGAAATCATTAAGCATTAGAAAATGAAGTTCAGAGACATCATTTTAGTGAATTTAGTTAGTTGTCCATCCATGCATCCATTCCATTTTCTGCTGCTTATCCTGGGTCGGGTTTCCGTGGCAACAGGCTAAGCAACGTAGTGCAGACGTTCCTCTCACAGCATTATCTGGGGGATCCCACGGTGCAAGGCCAGTGTTTTATGGAATAGTTTGTGGGCATATGTTTCTTGATATCTAGAGGTCTTTTTGTATGCTTTTCAGATTCTATCTATTAAGGACATTTCTATATTGTAGACATGTTTTATTGCCTCTATAAATAGTAGCTTTCAATACTAATCCATTTTATATGTTCAACAAACTAATTCAATTCTTCAAATGACATCTACTCCTTCATTGAATATCCAGAATCTAAAAACATGCAGCTATTGTTTGTTTAACTGCTGGACAAAAGATGCTTCCTACTTCAGTGAAAAGTTTCCAGTTTCCATTTCACTGCAAGTAGCATATTGGACCTTACCTTGCAAAGTAGTGGAATCCTTGCTAAATGACAAGATCACACAATAACCCATCTTGTCAGGTTTCAAGTAATTCAATTTAATTCAACTCAATTTATTTGTCTAGCCCACGGGTCGGCAACCATTTCTATCCAAAGAGCCATTTTGCCCTATTTTCCACCAAATAAAATTAGTCTGGAGCCGCAAAAGCTATTTGATATCACAGCTTATAAAGTTGTATATATAGTTATATTATATATACAAAAACTATAGTTTGTTGTATTTATGAAAATATAGAACAAGAATAAAGACAATTCTTGACATTTTTTTGCAATTTTACCTGATATAACAATATCAAACTCTTATGAAGAGGAGAGTTTGCTGCAGCAGCTGACAAATCATCTCCAGCGTGACACTTTTCAGCACATGCTGTGTGCTTGTTCAGGAAGCATACAGGTAAGCCAGCATCGTTGGCAGTGAAAGCAAATGAATACGTCCACGCAGAGTTAAACTCTATTTTCCTCCGTGACTTTTCTTTTTTTGGATTTATCCATTGATAGTTTACAGAGGGCGGGGGTCTGAAAATCATGATTAGCCACCTGCAGGGGAAAGCGCTTGACAGGGGTAGAGGATTTAACTGCCTGTGGGAATAATTAACATATAAGATTCTGTTCATTCTTGCTTATAAATTATATTCTCTCTGAACACGTTTCTCTTTTTGGAGAACGTCATATGAGATATCGTCTTCGATCAGCGCAATTTCCCTGCTCTTCGTCTCAGCCCCGTGTGTCACGGTGTGTGTAAACCTCCCTCGAATCAGGAAACTTGTCAGAATACCCATATTTGATTGGCTGAGCTGCATCACATGATGGGATTCACAACGCATTGGGCGGTGTGTTTCCTACACCACCGAACAAGTGCCGTAACGGCTGAATAAGAGGCGCCGGTTAAAGTTTAAACTCGTTGCCCAATATGTATAATTCCGAATTATCTATCGGTTTTTAGTTCCTGGGTCCAGATCCGGTGCGCCAGTTGGGGACCTCAGGGAGCCGCAACAGAGAGGCTAAAGAGCTGCATGCGGCTTGCGACCCCTGGTCTAGCCCAAAATAACAAATTTGCCTCAGAGGGCTTTACAATCTGTACAGCATGTGGAAAAAAAACAAGAAATCTCCAGGAGGGCCACAGAGGAGGGATCCCTGTCCCAGGATATGTAATGCATTTGTGTGAGGAGCTACTGGTATCTATGGTGGCGCGGTTTAGGTGTGTGTGAGAGGCTCCTACAGAGGCTAGCGTAGCTGCAATAGCATCAGTTCTATCAGAACTTGAAAGTATTTCTTCATTGAAAGAAGAGTAAAGAACGACTCTGAAGGCTTTCCATGGAAAAGTTGTTTTACAGATATCTTTTGAAAGTGCCTGCCCTTTTCCAAACAGTTTCCAACGCCTTCTCAGATGGTTCTCTGTCACAAACCATCTGCCGCGTCAGGTCATGTTGGACCATGATTTGCTTTCAAACAAGTCGTCAAGACATAAACCCTGCTGGTACCCTCTAGGTGTTAAACTGAGGTTGAAGAGGAGCACAAAGAAACGCTCCAGCTTCAGCAGACGACGGTGAAAACAAACTCTGCTCACACACCGTTCAGCACAATGGATATCTGACACCACAGCAAAGAACAATAATCAAAACACATGTTTTACTGGAGGGGACTTTAATATATGCCTCCCCATAAATATCTGCGCAGTCACACCATGACAGTCCTTGAAGCCTGTGACAAATACTTCCTTTGTCAGGAGGAAATTGAGACAGATCATGAATTCATTAGAAATGGCTGAGAATTGATTTATAAATAACAATGTGGCTTTACTTCTTAAAGGTACTGTGACGGCCTCTGGCTTTAAGCAGGGCCTGCTCTGGGCGTTCCCTTGTTTCTTGTCTGTGCTGTCTTGCAGGTCCCTTATAGGCGGAGCCTCTCTGTACAATTGGGAGCACCTGGCCAGTCTCCTAGGGGTATATAGGACCTGCCTGCCGCAGTCGGTGGCCTCTCTGTTCCTGCAGCTCCATGTCTTTGTTTTGTTGAGTAATAAATGCAAACTTTTCCGTCTAACCACCCGTGTGTCTCCCGTTTTGTCATGGCTCAAGAGCCGGGTCGTGACAGTACTCTTGAAGTTTTTTGTGTAAACAAAGCTCACATCGCCTTCACTCTTTCTCTCTGTGTGCATTTGCTCATGTGTAAAACATTTGCAAAGCAGATTTTCGAACCTGAATTGTTCACATCCATATCAGCATAAGTCAGTAGTCTTCCTCCTCACGCTTTGTGTTTCTTGATGTGTTAACGCCGGTAACTGTGGAGTAGTGCCAAACCAACACTAGGAATGTGCAACGAAACAGGGGCCCAATCCCAGTGTCCCCCCCCTTACGGACTCACGGACTTTGAGGGGCGCTCCCGTGAAGTCCGTGAGGGTTTAGGGCTGTCCCACTGTCACATCATCAAGTGTTTGAGGCTCTCTGGCAGACATTTTGAGCCCTTTATGAACCCTTTCCATAAGTCAGCATGGTATCCTGACTTAGCCTAAGGGAATTACCCACAAATCATTGCAATGTGACGTTAAACACGGGGTAACCAGTGGAAGCATGGAGACGTAAAAAAAAGGTAAACAAAGAGGACGGCTCACGTGTGTTCAGCCTGGAGTATTACATTTACTCAGAAACATTAAGGGTTAAATATGGAACAAAAAATAAACATGAAATCAGAAGATATGTATTTATCCATCCATCCATCCATTTTCCACCGCTTATCCGGGGTCGGGTCGCGGTGGCAGCAGGTCAAGCAGGCCGACCCAGACCTCCCTCTCACCGGCAACATGTTCCAGCTCATTCTGGGGGATCCCGAGGCGTTCCCAGGCCAGCTGGGAGATGTAATCTCTCCAGCGTGTTCTGGGTCTTCCCCGGGGTCTCTTCCCAGTTGGACGTGCCTGGAAAACCTCCAGTGGGAGGCGTCCAGGAGGCATCCTAATTAGATGCCCGAACCACCTCAGCTGACTCCTTTCGACGCGAAGGAGTAGCGGCTCTACTCCAAGCTCCCTCCTGATGACTGAGCTCCTTACCCTATCTCTAAGGTTGAGCCCGGCCACCCTACGGAGGAAACTCATTTCGGCCGCTTGTAGCCGCGACCTTGTCCTTTCGGTCACGACCCAGAGTTCGTGACCTTCCGGCTCAGCTCCCTCTTCACCAAGACGGTCCGGTGCAGCGCCTGCTTTACTGCTGCAGCTGCACCGATCCGTCTGTCGATCTCCCGCTCCATCTTACCCTCACTCGTGAACAAGACCCCGAGATACTTGAACTCCTTCGCTTGAGGTAGGCACTCCGTCCCCACCTGGAGGGAGCAATCCACCGGTTTCCGGCAGAGAACCATGGCCTCAGATTTGGAGGTGCTAACTCTCATCCCCGCCGCTTCACACTCGGCTGCAAACCGCCCCAGTGAATGCTGGAGGTCACAATCCGAGGAGGCTAACAGGACCACATCATCTGCAAATAGCAGAGAAGCGATCCCGAGACCCCCGAGACTGACGTTCTCCGCCCCCATGCTGCGCCTAGATATCCTGTCCATGAAAATCACAAACAGGACCGGTGACAAAGGGCAGCCCTGGCGGAGGCCAACACCCACCGGGAACGTGTCTGACTTATTGCCGAGAATGCGGACACAGCTCCTACTGCAGCCGTACAGAGACCGGCTCGCCCGTTGTAACGGGTCCGGCACCCCATACTCCCGCAGCACCCCCCACAAGACCCCCCGAGGGACCCGGTCGAAAGCCTTCTCCAAGTCCACAAAGCACATGTAGACTGGTTGGGCAAACTCCCAGAACCCCTCCAGTAGTCTTGCGAGGGTAAAGAGCTGGTCCACTGTTCCACGGCCGGGACGGAATCCGCACTGCTCCTCTTGAATCTGAGGTTCGACAAGCGGTCGGAGCCTCCTTTCCAGCACCCTGGCATAAGCCTTCCCCGGGAGGCTGAGTAGTGTGATACCCCGGTAATTCGAGCACACTCTCCGGTCCCCCTTTTTGAAGATGGGAACCACCACCCCGGTCTGCCATTCCATGGGCACTGATCCCGACCCCCATGCGACATTGAAGAGGCGTGTCAGCCAGGACAGCCCAACCATGTCCAGCGCCTTCAGCATCTCAGGGCGGATCTCATCCACCCCCGGCGCCTTGCCACCAAGGAGCTTTTTGACTACCTCGGCGACCTCTGCCAGGGATATGAGTGAGCCTCCCCCTAGGTCCTCAGGCGCTGCGTCCTCTGCAGAGGACATGTTGGTCGGGTTTAGGAGTTCCTCAAAGTGCTCTTTCCACCGCCCGACGATGTCCTCCGTCCGGGTTAGCAGTTCCCCCCCCCCCTGCTGAGAACAGCCTGGGGTAAGCCCTGCTTTCCCTTCCTGAGCCGTCGGATGGTTTGCCAGAACCTCCTTGAGGCCAACCGAAAGTCCTTCTCCATGGCCTCCCCGAACTCCTCCCATGCCCGAGTTTTAGCATTCGCGACCACCGCCGCTGCAGCCCTTCTGGCCTGCCGGTACCTGTCAGCTGCTTCAGGAGACCCCTGGGCCAACCAGGCCTTGAAGGTCTCCTTCTTCAGCTTGACGGCTTCCCTCACCTCCGGTGTCCACCACCGGGTTCTCGGGTTGCCACCACGACAGGCACCGATGACCTTCCGGCCACAGCTCCTAGCGGCCGCGTCCACAATAGAGGCTTTGAACATGGTCCACTCGGATTCCGTGTCCCCAACCTCCCTCGGGATGTGTGAGAAGTTCTTCCGGAGGTGGGAGTTAAAGACCTCCCGGACAGGGTCCTCCGCCAGACGTTCCCAGTTCACCCTCACTACACGTTTGGGTTTGCCGGGTCTTTCCAACTGGTTCCCCTGCCATCTGATCCAACTCACCACCAGGTGGTGATCAGTTGACAGCTCTGCTCCTCTCTTCACCCGAGTGTCCAAGACATACGGCCGCAGATCAAATGATACGATTACAAAGTCGATCATTGATCTCCGGCCTAAGGTGTTCTGGTACCAGGTACACTTATGAGCCACCTTATGTTCGAACATAGTGTTCGTTATGGCCAAACCATGGCAAGCACAGAAGTCCAATAACGAAACACCATTCGGGTTCCGATCGGGCAAGCCGTTCCTCCCAATCACCCCCCGTCATCGCCCACGTGAGCGTTGAAGTCCCCCAGGAGAACTATGGAGTCGGTAGGCGGCGCCCTTTCCAGGACCCCTCCCACCGACTCCAAGAAGGCCGGATACTCTGAACTGCTGTTTGGTGCATAAGCACAAACCACAGTCATATATGTATTTATTTATGTATTTATGTACATATGTATTTATATATGTATATATGTATTTATGTATTTATGTATTTATATGTATTTATTTATTCATCAAATATTTGATTTTGTCATTGAAGCTGTTTTGACAAAAATGAGTAAATAGATTATAATAAGTTACCTCTTATCTTGTGAGGAAAGAGCCTGAAAGACTTTCACATCAGGGAGTACAAAGTATAAAATAAATACACACAATTATACTGTCACAATCAGGCTTTGCCTTGTGTGTTCTGTGTCTCTTTGTGTAGCTTCACCCTCCTCACTCTACCTGTCAGTCACTCCCTCAGCATCAGCCTAACTCCCTTCACCTGCCTCCAATCAAGCACTCCCTCCTCATCAGCACAACTCCCCTCACCTGTTCTAGCCACTTTATAAACCCCTGTCTCTCAATCACTCACTGCCAGGTCATTGTTCATGTCTACCCGCCCCTTTTTTGCTCGTCCTGTTCCCGGTTTCCCAGTCTGCCTGCCTTGTCTCTTGTCTCGTCCTTGGATTCCCTGTTGTGTTCTGGTAAAGATTCCTGTTTTGTTTGTGTTCATTAAAACCCTTTCTCAGTGCATCTGACTGTCTGCGCTTGAGTCCTCCATCATGCCCCGTGACATATACATTATATTTTTTGTGGTTTTCATGGTAACGTGATATGTTGCAGCAAAGTGCTGTCCCATTCCTATTTACACCATCTCAAGCCCCCAGTCTCTCACACTCAACCACTTACCAGGTGATGTCAGTAAGTCCTTGAGGGTTCAGGGTTTGAGGGTTTAGGGGGGGACATTGGGATTTGGCCAGGGACCCATTTATTACAACATTGCTCCACAGCGCCACTAGTGGTCAACAACTGTATGGGGTCACTTTAATTCTACGGGGTTAAAGGGTTTGGTGGCTTACAGGCTTGGATCAGTTCATATTTATTAAATCAAAAAATGTAAGTGTCTTAATAATGTGCTATTCCAAAGATATAGTATAATACATAGTGCACATAGGTGTGTGAGAACAAAATGTCTCATTGGAGCCATGGTAGTGAAAGTAACAGCTGCAGTCTTTTGCAGCCGTCCCTCTATGAAATGCTTACAGCCAATGAACACGGCTGATTTTTGTGGGGAAGCCGGACAGAGTGACGCCTCCTCTTCACGCAGCAGATCTGTTTTTGCCGTAAGCAGCTTGCGTCTCTGAGGCATGAAGTTCCCTTGTGAGGTTTCATAAATGCCTTGTTTGTATTGACGAATTCCTGAAAATACATTTTTAATGATGCATTTGATTTGTTTGTCTTTAGACATACACAGTAAAACTAATGTATTTTGTATTTCGAGAGAGCGAGAAGGAGAAAGTCGAGGGGTGGAAACTCCGTTCTGGCCCCCCCTTCCTCTCACTGTGTTTTAAAAGGGCCAGCTGAGGTGGTTTTAGCATCTGACACCTGGACGCCTCCCTTTAGTTGATTATTCGGGCACATCCAACTGGTAAGAGCCCCCGGGGTAGACCCAGAACACACTTGAGGGATTATATATCTCATCTGAGCTGGAGTCACCTCGGGATCCTCCTGGAGGGAGCCAGAAAACAATGCTGGGCAGAGGGACATCTGGAATACCCTGGATCCTATGGATGGACATTATAAATGTCAGCAAAAAAAAACCTAAACTACATCCTGAATGTGGCCGAACAGACACTGGGCTTCTGTGTACGTTCAGCATTATTCTAGAGGTTGAATGTTATTGACTGATATAGGCTTGATGCGCCCCACCATTGTGATTGTAAAGAGAACCTGATGACACCTGTGGGGAGACTTGACTTGACTCAGAATATTGAAGTCTCTCACTGTGTAATGATTTACTTTTGTTTTCCTTTGGTACATTTGTTTGGTGTATTATTATTTCTCACATATTATAATGCACGATATCCTAATCACAGCCTTGTAGGTCAGTTTTGTAATTCCATAGTAAAGTTCTCTGTCGTAAATTTGTGTGCTCATGTAACAGTGTGAAATGCAGAGCGACGAGGCTGTGTTCAGAGTCCCAGTCGGGGCTCAGAAACATTCTCCAGGACCCGCTGCTGGTCTACGCACAGTGGAGCCACATGGTCTCTCAGGTTGTGGAGGCCTCCGCTGAGGTCACTGACTTCTCCCACATCGCCATGATGGTCCAGAGCATAGAGGTAAAACACACACATTTCCTTAAAGCGGCTGTGATTGATGTTTTTTTTAAATAATTATAATGCATGTGTAATGTCTAATGCGAGAGGTGTCCCTCATAGTGACGCCAAAGATTTATACTATATAATTACTATAGAGATGACCTTCTCGATGGTTCGATCTAAGCAGCCTGACATGGAATTGCTTGGTTTCTCCCAATAAATCATGATATATAGCCTATTTTGGCATAGATATCAACCTGTTAATAATTCTGTTAAAACAAAAAATAACCTGCATGCTATCAATCACTCTCCTCCGTGTTTGTGAATACATCACCACGTAGCCTTAGTTACTCTATCCAAATTAGCGGGACCATCGGAGCAGCATCTTGGTGACGGCTGAAAAACAAATATATTTTTAATTTATTTAACGATCCTCTAAAATCAGCTGGGAGAGGCGAATAGACACAGCTGTGTGCAGCTTGCATCTCTCACTGTAATTAGGGCTGAAGGCAAAAGCAAGAAGTTCTGTATGTCTATCAATCTCAGCTGTTTCAGTACTCTGGACTCTATGACTACGCGCACGCACACACACCCTAAACACATGTATCTCGACAAAAAAACAAAACTACTTAACAAGTTCACCTTATTCATTCTCAAGTCGTCATGAACTTGAACTATGAAATTCAGAGCATTAGTACAGCATCAAATAACTATTATCCATGTAAAGATATAGAGTAAAGTCACATAAGAGACCTGAAGCTGTGACCCTAATTATAAATCAAACATCCTTCCAATGTGCTCCAGCTCTTTCTAAACTACACAGAATACAGAATGCTAGTGGTTGCCGCTCATCTTTGATGTCATATACATATTCAGTAAAACTGTGAGACAGTTATCGAATGTGATGTCAGGGAATTTCTGCACTTCATTTCCTCCCTCACAAAGCCGTTTGAATTGGTCTTCAGGCTAATGTGAACACAGCAGGAGCTCTGACAGAAAACTGTTCAGAGGTACCGCCTCTCTCTCGTGCTCACTCTGTTACACAATCACATGAAACGATGAGGATAAACAATGTCAATCAATACCTGTCAGGAGGCAATGTGCTTCCAAGGGTCACCGAGGAGAAGGAAAAGAAAAAGCTCAAAAAATGGAATTCTGCTTTCCTGCTGCACACACGTTTACGCACTCCTAAAAAAGGTTCAGAAAGATTTATAACTCATTTCAAGTCTACATGTAAAATCAATTTCAAAGTCAAAGCTTGTGTAAGAGTTGCGTCACTGTGGCAGCACTCTAGTATTCTCGTAGGAAATCCATATGAAGTTCCGTATGAAATTCTGTTGGAGAAGTTCTCTGAATGACGTGTGAGTAGCTATGGGGATTTGTATGGAATAACATTTCATTCAATATTTAATAAATACATGAATATTTAAATTTGCCCATGAACTAAAAAGGGAGGCAATACATATATAAATAAATGTGAATATGAATATATAAATGAGTTGGGGCAGCCCCTCAGCAGTGTGGAGCCTTTAAATAGGGGTGGCCTGAGTATAAGTTTGATAACAGCAGACTTCATGTGCTCTCCAATGACCTCCTTCGATTCTAGCGTCTGCTGAAGGCCAGTGACCAGCTGCAGGAGCGTCTCAAACTGCTGCAGGTGAAGGGCGACCTGCTGGACTCGGTGTTCGGTCCCGAGGGGTCCGACAGCCTGCAGGGCGAGCTGAGTGCCGCCATCCGGAACAGAGAGCTGCTGCACGCTCAGCTGCTGCAGAGGAAGAGCAGGCTGCAGGTACTAACATGCTGCTCTCATCCATTTGGCTTCACTGCATCTTCAGTTTGAATGCGCACGACAGTCATTGCTAGTTTCAGACCGATGCAAATGTACTTGCATCCATTTACGCCCATGGGAGTTTGGTGTTAAAATGAGGTGTGGTTTCATCTTCAGGCGGCAGAAAGATAGTGACCAATAAATCCCTGGTCTAAAGTCGGTGGTGCGGTATTTGCCATGTTCAACTGACGACAAAAGATTTGTCATCTTTCATGCAGGACAGCCATGAGACGTCCTCACAAAAAGACTAGCATGTCCTATTTGTTTTGCCTTCTATTGCCTAGTTTAACAAGTGGCCAACATGTCGTCTGTCATATGTCACACAAGTTACAGTCACAGTCTGACAATAATTTATTTTTTTATTTATTTAACTCTATAATTGCCTAATTGGACAGAGTGACCATCTCAACAGTAAAACAAAACCTACCGTGATCATTAAATCTGATCCTTGCACTAAAAGTATGAAAATGAACTAGCACCACCTGTACAAAAAATAAATGTGTTTCCATCTGGTTTGGAGCGAATATACTCAGCCAAAGCATTTGTTGGTCAGAAGTTGGCGCTATATGCTATACATGGCTGTAATCCAGCAGTAAATAGAGTAGAAGAAGAGGTAGAGGTTGTAAACAGGAAGAAAAACAAGTCACCTTGGCCATCTAACATCAACAAGGGCCACTGTGGCTCAGAGGTAGAGCGGGTCGTCTTTCAGTCAAAAGATTGGTGGTTCGTCGAACCAGATTTCTTATTAGTTTAGAGGTTACGATCTAAGTTTTGTTTCATATTTGCTCTCATTATTATTGACCCAAGATTTTCCTCATTGCCAGTGTTTTGGTTCATTTTGTAAAAATGTTGAATCTTAAGTACAGAGGTAAAAATGAAACACCAAAGTATGGCTTACATATTGTGCTTCTTTGTCATTTGCAAGTGCCTTCATCATTTCAAGTGTTAGTTGTAAAAAGAAATGTTATTTCTTTGGCTCCTCTAGTCCGTGTCGATGTGTCCTTGGGCAAGTTGCTCCTGAAGCCTGTGCCTACAGTGAATGAATGGGTGTGAATGTTAGATAGTCCTGGTGGGCAGGTGGCACCTTGCATGGTAGCTCCTGTCATCAGTGATTGAATGACACGTAGTGTTAAAGTGCTGTACAAGTCCATCCATAACCATCTAGATGAAAATGAAGACGGCTCTTTAGGAATTTGTTTCAACTGGGCAAGTTTCATGTCAGCTAGCATTGCCCATGTTTCATGTTGTGCAGAGACAAAGACAATATAAAGATTTATCCCGGAAGACACCGACAGCAGAAACGGCTGATCAGTCATGTGAGTTAAATGTAAATTTATTCGGCTAAGGCCTTTCCATAATCCATTTAGCACATCAACTCTTTTTGACGAAGTCAAAAACAACCTCCAGCGAGCGTAAAAACAGTTTTGCTCAATTGAGGAATTTTTAGCAAATGTTTTGCGTTTGTAATGCGATACTTCATAATGTGCATTAAAAAAAAACGTGAATGGAAACACAGCTGCTGTGTTATGTCCATTGGAGGAAGGTGAAACACACACACATGCCTACACACAGTCACACACACACACACACTCAATAATTACACATTATCAGCCCTGTAAGTCAAAGTTATCAAATTCAATTTCAAATATAATACCAAAATAGCGTTTGAAGGATATGAGAATAGTTTAGAAAGCCTGAGCTCCTTGTGCAGACCTCATTTTATTATGGAGGAGGTGAAAACAAAGAGGACGTGCTCATGACTGTCTGTGTAACAGCCCTCTTAACGATTCATCTCCCCCTCTCTCAGGGCTTAATCTCAAGAACCAAGGACTTTGGCGACGCACATGAGCAGATTCGCTCCAAGCTGGCCGCTCTCCGGGACCAACTGATGGCAGCCGACGGCCTCCAGCCTGACATCCTGGCCAAGAAAAGCCAGTCGGACCAGTTCAGGGTGAGTTTAATCCCAGACTAGAGCCCGGCCAAGTCAGAGTCTGCTCAAAATGTAAGCCGGAGCACCAGATGCTCTGAGCGCACGGTCTTATTGTCGCCTCCTGCAGATTCAGATCAAGTGCCATGCAACTTCTCAGAAGTTACAGATGATAGCTGCAGTGCAGAGATCCGAAAATGACTCGGTGTTTCCCCTGTGTCAGCTTTGTCAATTACACTTATCCTAGCAGCCACTTGTGAACTCATGCGGTATCAGAATCAGCTTTATTGGAATTTGTCTCCGGTTTCCACTCCGCTCTCAATGTACACACACTATTTCACAATAAACAAGAAAAAATATATAAAGAATAAAAAAGGGCAGCAAAAAATTAGGACAGATGTAAGTATAAACATTTACCAGCTATATACAATATAAGTATAAATATATATCCAAAAAAAAAAAGTGTATATATTAGTGCTGGGCAAGTTAACGTGTTAATTTCGCGTTAACGCATTCATTAATTAACGCCGACAATTATTTTATCGCGCGTTAACGCATTTTTTTAATTTATTATAATTCTTTTTTTTTTTTTTTTTTTAATTGAAAGACAAGAGACAATACATATACATAACAACAAGAGGATGACAAGAGCAGTGGGATAAAAGCCAGCAAACATCCTATAGTCAGTAATTTTAGTGCACCTATATGCTGAAATTCACGGTAAACGCATTTAAACAGCACAGATCGGGAGCGAGCGAAGGACTTTGAAAGTTAGCGGAAAGATTAACGTGAGACAACATCCGGTTTCTTCAGACGAACATCCGGTTTTCAGAATAAGATGCCAACAAAGTATGAATTATATTCACATTAAGTATAAAACATGCTACCTGCATCTCGTGAACCAACTGTTATTGCCGTTTTGTTCATATAGCAGTACTTTTAAAATAAAAGTGCGCAATACACTACTTTTGAATTCATTATTGAACTTTGCCATAACAATGCGATTAATCGCGATTAATCGCAAAAAATCCATGCGATTAATCGCGATTTAATATTTGAATCGTTGCCCAGCACTTGTGTGTGTGTGTGTGTGTGTGTGTGTGTGTATATATATATATATATATATATATATATATATATACACACACATGTGAACATAAACCTATAAACAATGGCAATGGAATTGAGGTGATAGTGCAAGTGGTGGTAATAGTGCAAACAGAGGTAGTAGTGCAGTATGACTTATTTATTGTTCATCAGAGGAACAGTGGAAAGAAGCTGTTCCTGTGTCTGGTGGTTTTGGCGTACAGTGCCCTGTAGCGCCTACCAGAGGGGAGGAGTTGGAACAGCTTGTGTCCAGGGTGTGAGGGGTCTGCAGTGATCTTTCCTGCCCATTTCCTGACTCTGGAGGTGAACAAGTCCAGGATGGAGGGCAGGCTGGAACCAATGATTCTCTCTGCAGACCTGACAGTCCGTTGTAGTCTGTTCCTGTCCTGTTTGGTGGCCGATCCAAACCACACAGTGATGGAGGAGCAGAGAACAGACTGGACGATGGTGGAATAAAACAGGATCAGCAGCTCCTGAGGCAGGTTGTACTTCCTGAGCTGGCGCAGGAAGTACATCCTCTGCTGGACCTTTTTCCTGATGGTGTTGATGTTGGGGGCCCACTTCAGGTCCTGGGAGATTGTGGATCCCAGAAACCTGAAGGTCTCCACCACAGACAAAGTGTTGTTGAGTATGGTGAGGGGGGGCAGTGTTGGGGGGCTCCTCCTGAAGTCCACTGTCATCTCCACAGTTTTGAGCTTGTTTAGCTCCAGGTTGTTCTGACCACACCAGAGGACCAGCTGTTCAACCTCCCGCCTGTACGCAGACTCATCACCGTCCCTGATGAGGCCGATGACCGTTGTGTCGTCTGTGAACTTCAGGAGTTTAACAGACGGGTCCTCTGAGGTGCAGTCGTTGGTGTAGAGGGAGAAGAGCAGTGGGGAGAACACACACCCCTGGGGGGCACCAGTGCTGATAGTCCGGGTGCTGGATGTGATTTTTCCCAGCCTCACCTGCTGCGTCCTGTCAGTCAGGAAGTTTGTGATCCACTGACAGGTGGAGGCTGGCACAGTGAGCTGGGAGAGTTTGGGTTGGAGTATTGCTGGGATAATGGTGTTGAACACTGAGCTGAAGTCCACAAACGGAACCCTTGCGTATGTCCCTGGGGAGTCGAGGTGTTGCAGCATGCAGTGCAGTCCCATGCTGACTGCATCATCCACCGACCTGTTTGCACGGTAGGCAAACTGCAGGGGGTCCAGCAGGGGCCCTGTGATGTCCTTCAGATGGGTCAACACCAGTCTCTCAAATGATTTCATGACCACAGACGTCAGGGCGACGGGCCTGTAGTCATTTAATCCTGTGATGGAGGATTTGTTGGGGACCGGGATGATCGTGGAGCGTTTGAAGCATGAGGGGACTTCACAGAGCTCCAGTGATCGGTTGAAGAGCTGTGTGAAGATGGGGGCCAGCTGGTCAGCACAGACTTTCAGGCAGGAGGGTGACACACCGTCTGGGCCTGGTGCCTTCTTGATCTTCTGTCTGTGGAAGAGCCGACTCACATCCTCTTCGCAGGTCCTCAGTGCCGGTGGGGGGTCGGTTGGGAGAGGTGAGAAGGAGGCAGGGGGTGTAGGTGATTCACAACACACGTTCAAATCATAACAAACCAATATCCACAGCCCAGGAACAAGTTCATCCACTTCCTGACCCACTTCTGCTTAACACACACACACAAATTCCTCCCCTTCCTGTCCCGACCATGGTGTCCATCTCCCTGTCCATCCGTTGTGTCACTGCCTGAGCACACACACACACACAGCTAGGAAGGAACACTTGACTGCACAAACACAGAGCTGATTCAGTGTGTCTCCTCGAGCAGCTGACCACAGTGAGGTGATACTGTGTCTCAGTCTGAAGCTGGACTCGATGAAGCTGTGTGGAGCGTGAAGACGGCAGCGTGGGTAGGACTGATGAAGGTCACATACAAATGACATAGTGTGTTTTTACATATTTACAACTAGCAGGACTCATCATCATAACGTGATATTATAATCATCGTTTTCCTCTTCTCATATAGCCTCTGTTAAATTTTGCATAGTGCAATAGTAGAATACAGGCTCAGGCCACTCATTTCACTCTCAAATCATCATCGGCTCAGCTGGTGTCCTTAGAGCCTTACATCTACACAAAGTCTGAAATCTTCTCTGTTAACTCCACCGTGGTCCTTTTACCTCCAATGATGCACAGACTGAAGACATTTACACTCCAAGTTTGTATCTTTCTTATACCCTTTCTCATTCCAATAAAAACTGTTGCAGACTATTTTTCTACTTGTTGCAAAAAGTCGCAATACAAGACAAAACTGAATTCATTACGCAGGTCACAATCGGGGCTAATGACTGAATGACAGCAAGGCGCTATGGTTTAGCTGCCTAGAGGACAATCTAACCTCTCTGATCTTTCCTACGTCCTTTGTTTAGGTAAAACCAAGCTGTTCTGTGATCACCTGCCACAATCGGTCTTTAAAGGGACAGTATGTACGTTTTAGTAGCATCTAGTAGTTTGTGGCAGATTCCAACCAACGTAACACCCCTCAGCTCAGCCCTTCCCTTTTCAAGTGTTTCGGAGAACTACGGTGGCCTTCAGGTAGAGAGTTATCTTTAGGATTTTAGTACAAGGAGCTACTCTAATCAAGATTCTGTTCTCATTCATGACGAAATAATTGCTTTTTAAAACAAATATAGAATTTTTAAAACAAATACATTCAGAACAGAATTAATAGTTATTTATAATTTAGATCTAACTAGATGTTTCTAGAGCAGCAACAGTTGTGTTTACAACAGCAAAGTCACTATAAAGTCATTAATATCTCACTAGAAACTAATCTAAAATGTTAATGAATAATGGCACCATTTCATATTTCATCAACGTAAAACATGTATGGCTCTCACTAGGACCAGTGTTTGGTAGTTTTTGTCCGTTCTAGGCTGCTGTAGAAGCATGGCGGTGCAACATGGCGGACTCTGTGGAAAACGATCCGCTCCCTAGGTAGATACAAATGGCTTTTTCTAAGCTAAGAAAAAATAACGATTCTTAGTTTCAGGTCATTATACACCGATTAAAACATAGTTATGAATATTATGTTCAATATCTGCCACTAAATCCTTCTAAATGTTACACACTGTTGAAAAGGTTTTGAAGTTGGTAGGTAGAAGTGATTTTAAATGTGGGACAATTTTTGGACATTGTTGGGGAAAAATCTAAATGACTAATTAGTATGCGTTTAAATGATGAAGGAATGTTATACATTTAACAAAAGCGCATGTCCTCTGTAAGTGTTTAAGGCCTGTGTCCTTGTGTGAACTTTCTGGGACACCAGGCGTCTTCAGCAGCAGTTTTGTCTATCAGGTATCAGCTGTCTCCTAAGAAGAACACTTAGTTACACAGAGCTGATTTGCAACCATGACTTCCGGATTTCGATAAAAGTGACCGTTGTACTTGTACAATTGTTAAAGTGTCCAGATACGTAGACTACGCTGTATGAAGACAATTCGTGTGTCCTTTGTGACGTATATTACCCTGTGCAGCACATTGCATGTTGTTTACTCAGTATAACTATCAGAGACAGATCTCCGAGCAGCCTTGATGCATATTCTGTATGTGAATCAACTCTGTCTCCTTCTTGCAAGAATAAATGTCCTGCGATTAATGATTTTTACATCGGCTTGAGTGATTTTTTTTAACAGACATAATTACGGCCGTGGTGCGAACAGGTCCTTTAAACACTTAAGATGCTACAAATCTCCTCTGACAACCGGGAGACAACCAATCATACTGGTGGAGTCCTTTATTAAACAAGAGGCACACCAGGAAAGTGAGTTGTTGCCATGACTATTCTCTACAGTATGACTTTAACTATATACATACAGTAAATCCCATTCAACATTTCCATGGACCATGATATGGGGCACGTGTTATGTTATTCTAATGTTAGCATGACTGGATAGGGCAAATTAGAAGCAGTACCTACACAAAGCTAACGTAACTCGTGAATGTGCACTCACCAGCTCAATGAAGCCACGTGTGAAATATCACATTTTTAGGGAGTCCTGCAGTAGCAAGGACACAATCCCTCACTGGCTTCCCATCAATAAGGACAGTGGTACCAACATGGGAATTTAACTACAGACCTCTGTGGTGATGGACAATGTGACGACCCTCCTCCTAGCATACACTAGGTGCCCGGTTGTGTTTCCTTTTGTTACAGGTGCTGATGGAGGCTCGTCAGCAGGATGAGCCACACCTGTGCCGGTGTGGCTCTGCCTTAAAATACCCTCTCCAGTTAGCAGCCGGTGGCTCTGAAAGGAAGACCTTTGTTGACTGGCGCACCACAGTTGTTGCGGTCTTTGTGTAAAGTAATGCTAACCTTGGGTTACTTG